ACTTTAATGCAAGCTCAATCGGAGATGTGCAGAACAATTAGGATTCTGGAAAGCTTGAAGGCTAATCCTGGTGAAAAAGAAATGGAAGTAGCTAAAGCTATTCAAAAATCAGTTCATAAAGGTGTCAAAATTACAATAACAAATTCTGGAGGGATAAACAGGCTTCAGTTTTTGCAGAACTTAGTTGACAACATGCGTCAACGTTTGTTCAAAGACCATGAAAATAGTACAATGTTAGAAGACCTAAAGGTAAAGGAAATTTCTAAGTATAATTGCATTTACTATAATAGGCCATTGTTTAAATGAAATTTTCTTTTATTGTGTAGGTGATCGACGAAGTATTTAAAACGGAAACCGACGACGCCAGAGGAGAAGATGAAGTCAAAAAAGTGGCATGTAGATTTGGTTTATCTGAGTTTGAAAGTGTTATAGATTTTCGTACACGTAATGCTTATTCTAGTCTGATAAAAACGCTGAACATACTCCCCACAACAACAGCTGATTGCGAACGAGGGTTTTCCGAAATGAACCTCACGATAACTGATTTAAGAACTCGTTTAACAATTGAAAATGTGTCAGATTTGATGTTCATCTCCATAAATGGCCCTCCTATTGCAGATTTCAATCCACGACCATATGTGAAGGTTTGGCTTCGAGAGCATCGATCGGCAGTCTCTGCATTACGTGGTAAAAGAAGTGAGGAAATAGACCAGCAAGGTAGAGAGTCCCAAAAACAATTTTTTATTAATATATTTAAATAAATAATTATATTTAATGTATTCATTTTGTAAATAAATTTAAAAAATGAAAATAAATATTCGTTTTTTATCATTAACACTCCTCTCTTATATACCAAGGTTATAGTTTGGAACTTAATATAGTCAATAACATATGGAAGACTTTTTTTAGCATCTTAACTTTTTCAATGTAATTGTTAAAATGTATTGTGCCGAGTATACCCTCAACAAATTTGATGGGAACATCACTGCAAATAAATAAGTAATATACTGTTGTAGGATGCATTTTTAATTTTTTGTTACATTGTAGTACTTAATCATTAAAATGTTACATTTAGGTTACCTATATTAAATATACCATAGTTAAATGGAAAATTTGGAAAATTTAAATGTGTATGTACAATCAAAATTATAATATTAAAATGATGATTTTGCCTAATTGAAAAATTGAAATCTATCAACTATAAAACATCTTTAAAAATAATTGTAAACAAGTAGGTCTAGACAAGTAGGTCCGTTACAACTGTATAATTTTAATCCGTTACCATGTAGTCACTAGTACCATTGATTATAAATAATACCTAAAAGCAGTGTCATGACTCATGAATTAAGCTATATAATAATAAATAAATTTCACTTTAAACAAAAAAATATTAGTATGTAATTTAATACATAAATATTGTTATATTCTTAGTTATTCTTTTTATAATAATTATTTATAACTGAAAAATAATCATATTAATATGTTACTTTTCTCCTTTTAAAACTGCTAATATTTCTGAATTTAAATTAATTAATTGAATTATAAAAAGTCTTACCTTTTTCAACGAATTAGACATGATTCGAATTTGTTGTAGACACGCACAGTCCACAATCCGCAGACAAAATGGCATATGAATGATGACACACGGCACGCGGTAAAATAATATACAAAAAAAAAATAATGTGACATTTTGGATTTTCCCAAGTCCCGACACCGGCGAGACAATAGAATTTTACCACCACCACGGCTGATGGCAGTACCACTGACCACGTGCGCGCACATTTAGATAAACTGCGCGCATTACTATACATTTTATCACGGAATACAATAATACTGTTTCTGTGATATGAATCATGTAACATAAAAAATGGGTTATTTTGCCCACATAAATGAAATGTTTTTATGTATTGTATACGATTTTTAAAAATTAATGTTTTTACTTTGCCAAGTACCCACCATAAAATTCTTTTTTTCTTTTATACGTCGGTAAAGACGCCTTCGCGTGACGCCAAGCCGACTCAATTGCATTTGTGTGTGCACCCGTCTCAGGATCTTTGAAGTTCATGCTGTGGTTCACAGTAAGGTGATTGTACCCGTATTCGCCCAGTCTATCGTACGCCTAATCGCAATAATGATAATAGTGATACGCCACTGATTCTTTTATCGTAGTACCCGGTTTTACCCACTCCGAAATAATAGTTACGAGCGTATCGGCGTTACGGCTTTCAACTGGGACGAGAAAACATTGACCGCTTTCACGCTCAATTCCACCGAAAACCCATTGGCCTTCTACCCTATTTTTTTTTTTTTTTTTTTTCCTGTTTGAATCGTAAACGGCCCCAGAACTCGCCTATTAAGCATTACTTTGGGGCCGCTTACATCGTTTATTGTGAAATCAAACACGATATATACAAAATATTTACAAGTATGAAAAACACAATACATCTCTTAAATTAGACAATTATTACACAAACAATTTTCTAAATTTAGTCTACTAATAAGTTTTGAAATTACAATACATCTCTTAAATTAGACAATTATTACATTTTCTAAGTTAAGACTTCTGTTATTTGGGTTGGTCTTCACCCCGCATCGCAGATGCCGCCGGGCTGGTGACTGCTCCTCTTCTACCCCGCGTCTCAGACGCCGCCAGGTCTCACTTCTTCATCTTGGCCTTCGCTGTTCGATACGCTTCGCATTTCCCGCTGCCGGGATAGTGGTCAGCGTTTCTTTGTCTGGCTTCACACAGGACACAATGCGGTGAGGCTCGGCAATCTTTTGCGAGATGTCCTTCCTCCCCACATGTCATACACTGCTTAGACCTGTCTGGGCCTTTGCATCCCGCTTGCCTGTGGCCGTAGCCATGGCAGTGGAAGCATCGGTCCAGACGTCGTTCTGCTGGTCGAGCACGGCACAAGACCCATCCGATTCTTACTTTCCCCTTCTTACAGATGTCTTTTGCAACTTCTGCCGTCACCGTAACGATTGCCTTTTGTGTTCCTCCGTATGAGGGGGTGATCCTCTGAACACTAACTTCATTGATGTTGGCACCTTCTTGACATATGCCAGCGTATACATCACCGGCTCCGTCCTCCGCGCTGATGTCTCTTATCTCCACAACCTGTTTGTTGGACGATGCTCGAATACCGATGTCGGATCCGAGTAAGTCTTGCGCCGCAGCTTTGAGCTTGAGAGCAGCCTGGCTGGCATCGGCTCCTTTGCCCACTGTGATGGCCAAATGGCCCTCCTTCGTTTTACGCACTGCCTGGATAGAGACGCCCAGAGCATTAAGGTCAATATTGTCCTTAAGCTTCCTGGCTATGTCGGCATAACTACCACCGCCATCGGCCCTAGCGATAACAATCCCTTGTGGTCGAGGAGGTGCAAGTTTGCGTCTTGTCGTCTTGTCTCCAGATTTTGCTGGCTCTTTTTCCTTCTTTTTCTTTCTTTTCTTCTTTACTTTCTTAGTGTCCCGCTCCTTGCCGTCCACGGGCACCTGGACTGTCTCCAACGGTTTTTCAACGGACGGGCTCGACGTGACTGCCAGCGGGATTTGGGGACCCGTGTCAGTCTCAACGCGTTCGCTGATCCGCTTGAGTAGTACTCCGGTTTTTGAGCACGCGTCTTGTATTACTCGGTTTATGCCTCTTCCTTTCTGTTTTTCTATGCATTCTTGCATAATGCTATACTGCACCCCAAGCTCCCGGAGGTCGGAAGTTTTTAGGGTTGCATGTGCCAGTTTTTCACCATAGTTATTGGGTGACCGAGTCGCCCATAGGTCGTTGAGCGCCGTAACTGTCTTGTCCAGTTCGTGCGCCGCCTCCACTATGTGGTCTGCGATCTCCCCTACTTCTTTCGCACCATCTACCTCTAGAGTAAGGCGGGTGGCCTGTACCAACGCTAGGCGCAGGCCGGTCTCGATGGCCACATCGTCGTCCTCCAAGTCCTGTATGTTACAAGACCCAAAGCTCGGCTCCGAGATGGGCTCGTCATCCTTTTTCTTGCGCTTCCTTGGCTGCCGTACGACCGGGGAATCCTCTCTGTTTGGCATTCTGAATGCTTCGTCTTCGTCTAGAGTTTCACCTCCGGAGGAGACTGAGACTTCTGTTCTGTCTTCTTCGGTGATGGGATCTGTTGACACCCCGACATCGATTGTTTTTCTCGCGTAATAAACCCTTTCTCTTTCCCGATTGGTTGCATCTACCAGCTCTTGGTCGATTTTCCAAATCTCATCCCTAAGGGTGTTGAGGATTGGCTCTAATACCTTTATATTATTTATCGTTTCCTCAATTAGCTCCTTTGTTGCGTTGGGAGATTGGCCTTGGGTAAGGTGCCTCTCCAGCCTTTCACAAATCTTAATCATTCTTGTATCCATCTCGTCACACAGACTAAATGGGCCAAGTTCCTGTAGTCGGGCTAACGCCTTTTTCTCTTCCTCTTCTTTTGCCGCTCGCAGGGCCAAATCTACTTCCACCTGATTGTTGTGGGACCTCCACTTCGCATTTGGTTGGGGGCCTCCCCTTCGCATCGCCCTTGGTTGGCACCAGTGGGGGCCGGGCTACTAGAGCCCCCTCCGGCGTCCCCTGTGTCATCCGAAGACACTGGGGCGGTAACAATATTTCGGTTGTTGAGACTTTCCATATTGGGTTTTGGAGGGTTGTCCTTCCCTTTGCGTTTTTACCCTACCGCCAGGGTTTGGTCCGTTTGCTGGTGCTAGCAGGTGGACCGGACCTCGTCGACCCCAACCAACTAAGGTAAGGGTCGACTCACGGGTGGAACCTCTTGGCACCGACCAAGTTAATGCCGGTGAGCCCCCCCACCACGACAAGGTGGGTCCCGCGGGAGGGGGGCCTTCTACCCTATGGCCCCGATGATATTTACGGCGACCAAATTTGGACTCGTCGATCTCCACCGTCTTACCTATACCTCCCAATTGCGTTTTGTTATGTACCATTGCATCAAACGTCACTTCTCTGCAGAACGATTCCCAATCCACAACAGTTTTATTGGACAACCGAAGTTGCATTTGAATGACGTTTGATGGACAATTCATTGTCCATAAGTTGACAAAACCACAAATGGATAGTAGAGGTAAGTGAGACCGGTAAAAAAATGTCGACTTACGCAATGAAACACTATTATAAATTATAAAAATTAAATTTTAAACGAAAAAATTGCTCCATTTTAAAAATGATTTTACCTGTAGTTGCAAACAACCATTTTCCTAGAGCGGTTTTCAGTTTTAGTGCGACATTTCAATTTGAAATTGTCTAGTACACTGCCATCATTGACCAATACCATTAAATGGCTTTTCGGACACTTTCTTGTGTTCGGAAGAACATTAAATGTTATTAATTTGTTAATTAAAGTTAGACCGTTTTCGTTTGAGCTCCATTCTTTTAGGTCAAATAAATTCACATGATGCTCGTTAGCCATTTTGGTAGCTTATGGCATTTCAAACATAGTAGATAAAGCATATTATTATATAATATATATATATTTAATAATATATATAATTATTATATAGTTGCATTACTATCTATAATGCAATAAAAATCCGATATGAATAAAATGCTATTTTGGGATATCGCCGTAAGTATTGTCGCGTCGCCTTGCATTAAGGGCGAGAACAGGTAGTCGACCCCGCTGTAACCGTGTTATTGTATAGTGCGCGCCCGGCCGTAATTGCGAACTTAAAACGTCTGTAACTCCGAAACTAAGTTCGTCCGGCAAAAAATTCATTAGCAAAATTTCATCAGCATTGAACGTACTATCGATTAAAAAAAAATCGAAAAAAAAGGTGCCCGGTAAAGTACATTTGTTCCCTGAATGAGGCATAAAACAGACTTAGCCACAATGTATATACCACTACTTTGATTGGCCGACACTTTTTTAGGATAGGATCTGAACCTTTTTTTCTGATACTACAAAACGTATGAAATTGAAATGTGGAGCAGTGATTCTTCTAATATTCTAGATGTGCATTAAGAAAGGATTTTCCAAAATTCAATCTTCAGGGGTGTTTAAAGGGGTAAAAATGGAAAACGTTACTTCTTTGTCGAATTTTTTTTAATTTAGCATACATATCTAGAAAAATTTTGGCAACTTGTTGGTTATATATATAATATAGCGAAATAAAAAATAATACACTCTATACATCTAAACAACACAAACTCTTCGTTAGCTATGATCAAATTTAAAAAAATAAACACATTGCATAACCCCGGGCGAAGCCAGGCAACACAGCTAGTATTAAATAAATAATCATATATTGAACTACGGTTGTTTTATTATTTATATCGATACAAGTAGAACAATAATAAAAAAATGACTAAAAGTATTAGTTACTTAAATCGCCTTTTTTTAGTTGTATCTAGTTCTAAGTATTACCGGCCACTACTGAATTCTCCTAACAGTAAGTTTCTAAATTGAGGTATTTTCATAACCATTTTACAAAAATGTATTACAATGTCTATTTTTTAATTTTTTTATTAGTAGTATCCAAATATAAGAATTTTGGCTATTATAGATTCAAATCTGATATTGCTGATCATAAAGCAATAAAAGTAAAGTCAACATTAAAAAAATGGATAGTATTGAGTTCTAAGGCATTTGCTATTTCATTAACAGCGCTTGTAGGATGTGGATTGTATTTACTGAGTACCTAGCCGTTTGTTGTTAAAACCAAAATTAAATCAGCTTCTTGTAGCTCGTTATTTACACATTTCTACTCTGGTATTTCAGGTTATGGAGATGACGACTTAATTATCAATGTAAATAAAGATGACCCTTTTATAATTCAGACATATGAAAAGTTGTGTTTTAGGATTCAATTTTATCATAAGGTATTGCTATATATTATACATTAAATCTATTATTTAAACATAGCTATTAAACACAATAATGTTATATTGCCATAATGAATAAGATAGTACATTAAAGTTTCCTGTTATTAGATGCTGACAACTCCCTTAACTGTTCCTGATAAACTGCTACCCGACCCATTGCCTGATTATTACGAAAAACCACAGTACACCCTAGTGTTTGAAATGATTGATATTCTAGTTCATCCCGAGTGGAGCGTAAGAATAGGATTTCTTCGTTGCAGGAAATTATGGTTTCATTAATAACTAAATTAAATATGCAGTATAGTACAGGGTGGAAATTCAAAAAGAGACCCAATGTCGACTACTTTTTAGAAAAGGTGGGAAAAAACTTTGAAGTAGTCGTATTTACAGCTGAAAATGGCGATGTAAGTATATATAAATAACAATAAATTTGAATTATTTATACCTTTTTATTACATGTAAAACTAAAACCTAATTAGTGTATGTGCATTACAATAATTTGTTTGAACAATTTGCCTTATATGCAAGAATTAAAAATGTAGAAACATAATTCAAGAAGTACCAACAATGTTTTTTTTGCATCATAGCTAAACAATTTATTTTTTTTATAAATGATTTAAATATTTATCTACTATTAATGTTTAGAGTGGTACTAATAATTAAATATAAAATATATTTAATGAGATATATAATAAAAAGAACTGGCTTTCAATAATCCTTCAAATTAAAAAACCTCTTAACTAAAAATAAATAAATTATGTTCTTCATTAGTGATACTGATGTAATACAAATTTACACAATGTAATGTTCATTTTAGCTTTGATACCATAGGCAGCATAGACCGCTGGATGTCTAAAATTAATGTTATTTGTTTTAAAATAACTCACATTATTTGTTAACTGTAAATAGAACGCAGTTTAGTTTTTTTTTCTATACTGACGTTTAATCAGTAATAAAAGACAATATCATTCTTAATGGGAATGGAAATAGCTTAATTTCAAAACAAATAAACACTATATTGACTTTTAGATCAATTTTTGTCAAATAATGCCTATTCTTTGCCCATAAACAAAGAACCCTTTCCATTACCGTTAAGTGTTCCAGAATTACTAAATAGTCAATTAAAATATTAGGAATTTCAAGGAGAAATTGATTCCATTTCTGTTGTACAGATTGCTCATCCTATATTAAACGAGCTTGATCCTTTGGGCTGGATTTACTATCGACTTTCACGTCAGTGTGCAGATTTTAAAAATGGCCATCTTTTAAAAAATGTAGACAAAATAAACCGTAATTTAAAAAAAGTGATCGTTGTTGACTGGAATAAAAATTGGACAGCACTTCAACCCAACAACACTTTAATAATACCTAGATGGAATGGTGACGAAAACGATAATTCTCTCATCGACCTTGCAGATTTTTTAACAAGTAAATAATTTAATAACACAATTTTTACAATTTAAGTCTATTTTAAAATAATAGATAAAAACCAGTTTTTTTATTTTAGCTGAGTACCTATAAAATGTATATAGAATACTCAATTTCCTAACTCAAATCCATCATCTAAGAAATTTCTGTTTAATAAAATTGTTTTTGATATGTTTAGCGGAATTCGTAAATGACATAGAAGACGTTCAAGGAGTTATAAAAGAATACAAACAATATGATGACCCTGTTAAGTTCTTTCGAGAAAAACAACAAAGTTTAAAAGTAAGTATAATTTATAAATATTATGTAGACATTATAAATATACATGAAATTTTAAATTATAATTATTACATGTGAACATTATAAAATGTAACAATCATTGTATACACATATTTGATTAATTAATTGTCAACAAAAATGTTTATCGAGGTTGGATTTATGTGAAAATGACTTAAAAGACTACACATTTATGGGAGCTTTTCAGCTGTGTACGTGCGTTCCTGTAGATTGAGGTTGGATTTTTGAGAAAATTACTTACAGCATACTATACATTTAAATGGCTTTACTTCCATGTGCGTGCTTACGTGTACAGCGAGGTTGGATTTTTGAGAAAAATGCATTGAGCAAACGTTACATTTGTAGAGGCGCCTGCATTCTGCCAGCTGTCTGCAACCATTGTCACTACAACAAAATATCATCACACGTTTAACATTTATGTACAGAAATATGTATCCTAATAACATGATTTATCCTGATTATATTATCAAAAAATACATAAAGTTTAATATAATAATAATTTATAGGGAGAGACCTATTAATCGGCGAGAGCGTACCGTATAATATTCGGTGTTGTTCGACGTAAAAACAGTATTCGATCGTCTAAAATAAAAAGTTTTCACATAGGTATTACATATTATATTTTAACAGCTTGCGTACGAGTCCGCAACACCATGGGATACATTTTTATGTATCAGTGTTTTCATAATATCTGGCAAAACAATTCATAGAGAATTTGGCCCCGTAAATTATTGAATTTATTATTCATTTCTATTTTGAACGTTGTGACTACAACATACACGTCGGTTTTTTCGTTATGATAAGCGGTGTCGATTTTTCCGTTTATGTGCCAAAGCAAAGACATAAAAATGTCAAAAGGCTCACACAGGTCTACGATGGACTCCATTAAACATTTCCATATAACAATTGCACAAATTGCCGAAAATTTAAATGTGGACGACCGGAAGCATTTCATTTCGGCAATCAATTACAGATTGTTAAAACGAGAGATGTATCATATGCACATCGCCCGTATAATGGCTGAGCTGTAAAAGGTATTAGTTATTTTTATAAAGACGCATTGGCGGTGTGTTTGGCAGATCTTGCCAATCCAAACATGGAGTGGATTCATGCAACATACCAGATCCAATACGAGCATTAAAATATACACATATATTGCCTAAAAACATGGTGTCTCAACGGACGTATACGAAATAATATTCGAGGAGGCAGTGAATGAAGTACAAATGGAACTTTACAAAGGGTGGCCAGAACCTCATCTTGTATCAGAATCACTCCTGATACACACAATAAAATATAATTTACATAAATCAATAAATATTATACTAAACGGCGTTGGTACTTAACTGAAAAATATTTTTAATTTAAATTCAAAAAACAATTTTTTTTGTTATTGTATACGAATATCTAAATATGAGGACGCTACTGGTTTTAATCGGAGGCCTGATGTTGGATGGAACACACCCTGAGGCAGAATCAACCCGGATGAGGCGACTAGAGTCAATATAAGCCTTTATTTGTTTTCATATTCTAGTATATAGAAGTCATATAAACATACTAAGATTATTTATTTAATTTATTGATATATGATTATTGTTTCGTAAAATTTTTTTTTTTTTAATTTCAGGAAGAAAAAAAAGAAGAAATTATAGATGTAGAAGAACAGGTAGATAATAAAAACGTAGATAATTCATGGTTTTCGTGGTTTTCTTGGTTTAATAATAAGTGAATCAAGAATCAAATGTCATATCGCGTCTTCCGAAGAACAGCGGACTAACTGTAAAAAGTCTAATTTTACAGGACAGTGAATTGCAAAAAATACCTTATATTACGTACACTATTGTGTATACATTAAAAAAAACAGATAGTTCTAACAAACTAGTTAATAGTTGCCAATTTTATTTATAAATTCATTGTTCCTAATTTCAAAGTAGCGAAAAACTATTTTATAAAAGTTTTTACTTAAGTTCTATTTTATTACAATTGATCGATAAAATAATAGAGCATAACTAAAACTTTCAGTATTTATTTTTCTGTAAATTATGTTTAATATTATGACAGCTTAGTTTGGTTAAAGTTCACAAACCATTAATAAACATGTTTTCTGTATATATTTGTTATGTTTAAATCTGAAATATAATTATTGATAAATTATTTATAATTAATATATTTAATTATATCTTAGTATAAGGTATACTTATGATTTATTTATTTATTACTTTTTTTTTTAAAACCCATTATTAAACTGGCGATTCTAACAATTTTCTATTTTTTTTCTCCTCAGTAGAGAAGGAGTGTAGGATGGTGTATGCGGTGAAAGACTACTATCTAAAAAGTAATAGTGTACAAATATATAGTTCATTTTTTTAAATATTTTTAAAAATAATGAAAATAACACGAGATTAAAAATTGAATTATTCATTTTTATTTTTAACTTTCAAACAAAAAATATCTTTGTGTATATGATTTTTTAAATCTTAAATATTTTTTTTTTTTTTTTATTAATCAAAAGCCTCGGTTACAATGACCATTGGCTATACAATACATTTATCTTATTTTATAACTTTTGATATATACAATAAATACTATTTATACGAGTACATACAAGTCAGATTGAGAGATAAAATTAACAGTTTTGGAGACGTCGGAATATGGACCCAGAGCTTCCCATAGATCGTCAGGCAGTTGGTTGATTTTTTTGAGGTCTTCGTATTTTTTACATTCAACTAATACATGTTTGACCGTGAGAGAGGTGCCGCAGGTTTGACATACTGGCTTGTTTTCTTTTTTTAGTAAGTACATATGAGTAAGTTTTGTGTGTCCAATTCTTAGTCTGTTTAATATGACTTCAATCTTCCTACTACGTATGCTGTTTTTAGGCCATCTTTTTATACTGTTTTTTATTTCGTTTAGCATTGTGTTTGATTGTTGCCAGATGTTTTGTCATTCTATTTCTATTTTTTCTTGTATTATTCTTTTTATGTTGTGTGGTAATGTTGTTGTTGTACTGTAGTATTCGGATATTGTTTGTTTGGTTGTCCAGGGTATAATTTGGTGTTGTTCTATTTGAGTGATACTTTCAGGATTTATTCCTTTAAGTTTGGCTTGGTCGATTCTTGATTTGTTGTGGTTTATTGCTGGGTTATTTGTTATTTATTAATTTAGCTGTGTAAAGAAGAGATAATTTTAAACGACGTAAATGTAAGGGAAGTTCTCCTGCAATATTTAGCATACTATTTATGGGACTGGTTCTAAATACCCCTAGGGCAAGACGTATCCCATTATTGTGTTTGCTTTCTATTTTTTTAAGAGTGTTGGTAGATGCATTATTGTATATTATAGATCCATAGTCAATTTTGGACCTAATAATGGCTCTGTATATTCTCAGTAAAGTTAAGGTGTCTGCACCCCAAGAAGTGTTCGATATCATTTTGATTAAATTTAAGTTTCGATTTAAAGACATATTTAGCTGATTTATATGGGGTACCCATGTATTTTTTTGGTCGTAGGTTAGACCTAATATTTTTATGACTGTGACTTGTTCAATCTCTTTGTTGGCCATTTTTAATGAAAGGTTTTCGGTTTTGCAATTCATAGTAAAATTGATACATTTTGATTTTTCAGGGGAGAATTGAAATCTTGAGTTAAGTGTCCAAAGAGTCCTGTAAGAAGTATCTCACTGTTTTTATGTTTTTGCTTTTACAAGAGATATTAAAGTCATCGGCAAATAACGTAGCCTGTATTGGTGCTGAGATAGTATTAGCTACATTATTAATACATACTAGAAAAAGCGTAACAGATAATGTCGATCCTTGAGGGACACCATTCTCCAAAATGTATTTATCTGAACAACAATTTACTCCTTTGACCTGAAATGTTCTATTTTGAAGGAAATTTTCAATAAATTTAAAAAATTTTCCTTTGTTTATTACCTTAAACAGTTCTGTTTTGATGTTGTGTCTCCATGCTGTGTCGTAAGCTTTGGCTATATCTAAACTAACAAGTCCTAGGTTTTGCTTACCCTGTTGAGCCGAATTTATTTCATCTTGTATTTTGCTGAGAGCGTCATAAGTAGACCTATTTTTCCTAAATCCACTTTGAATAGGATTGAAGTATTGTATGTGTTCGAGATACCAGACTAATCTAAAATTTATTATTTTTTCTACTATTTTACACATGGTGTTGAGTAATGTAATAGGTCTATAACCATTAACATGAAATTAGTTTTTCCCTGGTTTGTGTATCGCTATTACATTTCCATTTTTCCAGCTATCTGGAATATTACCTGTGTCCCATATTTCATTGAATATTTTTAATAGCTGGTTTTTAGCTTTAGTTCCAAGGTTTTTTAAAAATATGTAGGGGATGTTGTCGGGTCCAGGACTTTTACTTTTGCATTTTGTCATTGCATGGTCAAGTTAATGGATGTTAATTGGTCTGTTCAACTCTGTTAATTCCCATGTTTCGGGATGAATTTCATTCCCAGTAAATGGAAGGTTTTCCATAGTTTTCTTGTATTCCAAAAATTTCTCGTCATAATTGTCATCGCTACTACATTTTTGGAAATATTTTCCAATTATTGATGTAACCTCTTCGTCTTTTTCTAATATTTTATCGTTGTCAATTAGTTTAATGCTATTATTTCTATTAAGCCCTTTCAGGGATTTTATTTTATTCCATATTATTTTAGAGTCTGTATATGAGTTTATAGTTGATGTAAAGTTTTGCCATGAGAGTTTCTTTTTATTTTTAATCGTAAATTTAGATTTTGCTCTAAGTCTTTTAAATTCAATAAAGTTTTCCTGGGAGGGATGTTTTCTAAATTTATTGAACGCTGTGTTTTTTATTTTTATAATTTGTTTTATTTCATCATCCCACCAAGGTACCCGGGGCTTCTCTGAAAAAATGGATGCTCTTCCAATGGTTTTATCAGCTATATTAATGATAGTGTTGGTAAATTTTTCTATTGTATTTGTAAGATCTTCAATGGGTTCGGTTGTGTTTACTTCATCTTCGATTAAAGCTGTGAATAGTTCCCAGTTGGCTTTTTTAAGATTCCATCTGGTAGATTTAGATTGTTGGTTATTTTTCCGGGGTAGACAGGTGATTAATATAGGGATATGGTCGCTACTATATATGTCTGGAAGTGTATTCCATTCTATACCGTTTGCTAAAGCTGCGTTTGAGAAGGCTAAGTCAATTGCAGATAGATTACCGTTATTAGGGTTAATGCGAGTGGGTTCGCAATTATTTAAAATAACTATATTCTCATTATCTAGTAGTTTCTCTATCTCATTACCCCTTTCGTCAATTTTATATGAGCCCCAAGAGGTGTGATGGCTATTGAAGTCGCCCACAATAATGTAAGGAGAGGGTAGTTGCTGTATAATATTTTCAATGTCGATGCACGAGAATAATTTTTGGTTGGGAATATAGATATTACATATTGTTAATGGTTGTTTGCTTTTTATTTTTGCTGCTACTACCTCTAAGTCGGATTTAATTTGAATTTGCTCGCTAGGGAATGCGGAGTTTATGTAAATCGACACCCCTCCACTGGCCCTATTACATATACTTCTTTCTTTGGTATATTCTACGTAATTTTTTAGAGTTCCGACGTTGTTTTTGCTGAAGTTTGTCTCTTGAAGGCATATAATGTTAGGGCTGTATTTAAATATTAGTATTATGTTTGTTTACATATAAAACAGGTCATCGTGTCGTCCGTTAAAAAGATTCTAAAGTCCGTGTTGTCGTATTTGATTAGTAGGGAGCCGGGTACGTTTGCAATGTCATCAGGGTGTATATACACTTGACGTCGAAAACTACTAATATGTGCTAGTCCGTCTTGAAAACCGGCTTTCATAAATGATATTGGCGATACTATTCTAATGCCTTCTAAAATTAGATTTTCATTGATTATATCGTGTGGAATAATTGGGTGTGCGTTTGATATTCTTAAATATTTCTTGGGCCATAATATGTTAAATCAGTTGGACTATCATCATGTACTATTGAAAATTTATCTAGACAAATATTTACTATAGGATTTGTTGACATTTAACCACCAATTTCTTTGTATTCCTAATTTCGATTGTCACAACCAAATGCACAACACTGGGGGTCTATTCTTGAAAATTTTCTACTACCATTTCGTATACGAAATGTGACTTTCTACTGGTTTTTTAAAACTGTATTCTTGAAATTGCGTTTTCTATTACTCTTTCTATTCTACTACGCATTCGTATACGAATTACGGTATATTACCTGAATTATTATATTATCTAGCTTATATATTATATTATAATATTATTTTATGTAATATTATATTGTATTAATATATTGTATTACATTATTTTATATTATGTACCCTTTAATTAATTACAACATTTTTATTGTACATATATTTTGTAAAATAAAAAATGATGTAGGCCTAAAACTTCTAAATGGGTTTCTAAAAAACTCAACTTGCCTCTCAACATTTGTCAACAATTAGCGACAACCGCAACAAAATAATGGAGTCCTATTATTCTAATAAAATTGAGTTGTTGAAAAGACAAACCGATTTAAAAGAAAGAGCTACAAAGGCAAAAGAAAAAATGGCCAAAGCCTTATGTTTGTTGGCCGGATTAAATGACTCTTCGGAAAGTGAAGAAGAAATTGATTCTACGGCAACCTGAACTTCGTATTTAAAAAAAAACGCAACTTAAGCCACTAAAAATCTTATAAATATTAAATAGTATTACAAGCTGTGTACCAAGTAAAATGTTTTGATGAAAAAAAAAGGTTCAATTTTGACTATTAATTGTTTTTGGATTTCGTATTCCGGATTTTCGGATTTAAATAAATCCAAAATCTGAAAGCAAGTTATAGTCAAACTTGCGTTTTTTTTTTCATTTTTATCAAAAACAATTAACTTAGGTACAAGACGCTATACTTTAAAAATATTTAATACTTATACGATTTTTGTGTGGCTTCGAATGCGCTTATTTTTAAATGCGGATTTTCGGATTTATATCACTGCAATTCAGGAATTACTATATTATTTATGTATACAATTAAAATTATTATCATTATTCAACCATAGGTTCGAAAATGCCAAAATCAAAATCATTTAAATTTATGTCATCTAAATCGATGAGAGGGACATTTTCCATTATACACAAATTATGCAACACAATGCAAAATTTTATTATTTTGGATGCTTTATTTGGCAAATAATGTAGAACACGGTGTTTCAGCAAACATCTAAACAGTTTAAAATAAAATGTTTAAATATCACAGACTATGAAGTATGTTATACTAATCAAACGATAGGTGTGTATTACCTAAATCGCATTTTTAGAACCCCGTTACAACGTTCAATAATTGAGCGAATTTTACAAAATGACTCGTTAAATAATGCTTCTGGAGAATTTGGAGCCGGATCTATGAACGGTGTCAAAAGCCAAGGACGTAAAGCATATCCTGAGTCACCTAACAAAGAATGAAGGCTTATTTTAAAAAATCAAAGAAATTGGCAATAATATTTTATTAAACCCATACCTATTAAAAAATAAGACTTGAAACCATTTTCATGCAAGTCTAACATTAATGTTTTTACATTACTTTCATTCCAAATATGCGCATCATTTGCAGAACCAGGAAAACGTGCCGACACATTCATTATGCGTAAATTTGCATCAAAAATCTTTAAATATACTTGGTGTTATTATTAAACATCATCAACATGTATCTGTTTAGTGCTAAGTATATAGTTTATCATTAAACTGTTTTGCAAGGCATGCAACTGCATGCTTTGTGGGTTATTGTTACCACAATAATAGAGAACTATATTCATGTATGAGATTTTTAACGATTATAAACTATTTATCTAAATTATTATGTCTATTACATTACACATTATAAATGATTATAAATTATATTTTACACCTTAATATTGTAATAATAATTTAAAATTATACCTACCAATTGAGTATTTATAGAATGATACCCTTTTCTATTTACATAAATATGCTCGGGATATAACTCATCTTCAGTTCTTGGCGGTACTATTGCAATATGTGTGCAATCTATAGCACCAATCACACCGGGTAACCGGAATTTATTAAAGAACCTAATAATAATAACAATTGATATGTATTATAATAAAATATATTATCTATAACATAATTTATATAGTAATTTATCTTTATACTAGTAATTGGAAATATCCGAATAGACCATAGTCAAATATCAAGTTAAAATATTTTGGATTAGAGTTATTAAAATATCCGAAATTTTCTATTAATGGTTCTCAATTTTCCATTACCTACTTATACTACCATTAATGAGTACTACTTACTCTTCCCTAACAGAAATTAACTCATTAATGTTATGCGGAAAAGAAACAAATTTGTCGAAAACTGCCGACTCACACAAAGCTGAGGTTACTTCTTCTAAATTCGGCTCACGGAACTTTGACTAATAGAAGTATGTCGATTCGCGCCAACACCTCGTTGATAACTGCCAGCAGCAAAAAAACCTAAAGCGGTAAAAACCTATAATTTATACCATAAAGTAAATTAAAGATGTACATTAAATCCGTAACATTTATTTATCAATATTCCATAAATCTGACCTTGCGCTCAATGGACGTACCATTTCAACAACCCTTCGGCATAATTCTTTTGAAAGACGGTATAAACTAATAAATTGTCTATCTGTTAGGTCTAAATTATTAAATAACATCAAGTATGAAAAAACGTTTAAAAAACCATGTTTTACTTAATAACGGGTAATTAACATTTAAATTACTCAGCTTCATCGACTCTTTTGAGTATATAATTAAGAGTAAAACGTATTTATATACTGCATAGTACTTTATAGTCTAAAATCTTGTCAAATATTTAAATATACAATTGGTTTACTATTTATATTATTTCTAAATATTTATGATTACTCTAAATAGTAAAATTAAATTTAGTTAAATGTATACTTTATAAAATATAGTCTATATATTTAGTAGGTGGTATTTAGTACAAAATGCACTTTATCAACATTCTATAGTATACTAATGTAATGTTTAAATTTTAATAAATCATTTATTTGGTTCTGATTTATGTTCATTATATTGTATTGAAAATATTTTTTAGTTGATAATTAATTACAATATATAATAATAATACAAAATTATAATTATTTAAGACTTTATTACTATTATGAAAATTATTGGTAAGAAGAACTAACTTAGAAAGTTGTACTTACTAAATATTAGTATTTATAGATTAGGAATTTTCGAATTAATTTGTATTTTTTTATTCTTCTCCAAACAGTCTTGCATGCTAATAATTATGGGTATGTAGTAATGACAGCAAATTGTTAAAAAATATATATATATATATATAGACATATTTTATTTTAGTAATATAATAACTATTTTAATAGTAACATAAAATATTAAATCTGTGTACTTACATTCAAAAGGATCAATAGGCTCATAAGTTCACCTAGTTACTTCTCCGTCAAGTTCTCTCTGTTCCAACTCTTCAATAGCAAATAATTGCATTATTAAATCATTATCATCATTCATTTAAAAAAAAAGTTATGCAGTAATGACAATACTTAGCTTTTATAAAACCTATAGTTAGACAAGGCAGACCTTACTTATCTCGTGGGTTTTCGGTCTCTAGTAATAATCTTGCCGAAATGTTCAGACACCGGCAGTAATCACTAAACGATAAATGGATATCGACAAACGTAGTCAACAATAGAGGTAACACATTATTTAAAATAATTTACGGTAAATTCAGTAAAACACATTACACAGTCGACACTGTTGACTATACAATACAAATTGACAACTATTGGTAATTTAGACTTTTAAGACTAAGTTAAAGTTTTTGATTATAGTACGTTACCATAAATTATGACACCGTGGTTAACATAAGTATAAGTATGAGTATAAGTAATCGTTATTCGTACGCGAATCATAGATTCTACTGCCTATACCCCAGTAGTTGCAACGTATTGGACCCATAATAGAATGTTATTCGAGTGCTTTGAGTGATCGCAGTAGAAAATTATTCGTGTACGAATAGTCATATAACACTGTTTTAAATGGTATTCTTGACATTCGCATACGAACATTTCGTATACGAATCGGTCGTATACGAATAATTTTCGAATGGTTTCAAGAATAGACCCCCTGGTAAGGCATAATAGAAAAATTTTAAAATTACGAATTCGGAATTCCTATTCCCTATATCACAATATTTATTTAATATTTGATTAGAGATAAAATTCATTTGCCTCATTTTAAATGGCGGACGGATGACTTCACGTTTTATCACTAGTTAGCAATCTAATTTATTATCTATATTTGTGGAGCCAAGGCATTTTCTACTATCAATAGAAATAAATTATCAGTTGATTAATTTACACCAAAAACGTTTGTTTTCAAATACCACACCCCTTACACTTGACCCAGACACTACGCTAATTAGTGTTCACTTTTTTTTCAAAACGAACAAAGCTCATGTGTACAGTTCCAATATTAATTTCAACCATGATCCCACGTCTGGCCTAACATGTCATGTCAAAGGCGTGCAACGATATTTATTTTTAGAGAGTTTAATCAAAACTAAAACTTTTGTACATACTTCTGAAGCAATAAAGTCAGCTTCGACGGCCCAAATAGAATGTGGGAACTCACAAGACATTAAGTCCGATGACGTTGCAAGGAAAATCAGGTCAGAATCGTTAATGGTAAATGGCTATGCACGAGACCATTTGGGAGACCTTTTGTTAATGTATTCTGATACAAATATTAATTATTTGCGTCATGTCTGGTTACTGACGTACGTTCATGTTTATACATAGTATAGAACAGTTAAATTGATTGAAAACATTGGATTCGTGTAAACCTGTAATTGTTTTTTTGGACGCTAACGGCACGTTTGTACAGAAAGGTGACAGAGACCATAAAAGTTATATGGGCTAATATCCTAGAAATTATCTTGTAATTTCCATTGTTACAAATCGTAATTTTACTAAATTATTTTTGCTCTGGACTACTCTGTTACTCTTATAACATTAAAATAAAAATGGCTGCTGTAAGGGTATGAAACAGGTGAGTGAGGGAATTTTTTTTTGTTTTTAACTTAGTTTAACAAAAACAAAATACAGGAACTATCAACATCTTCAAGAACTGAACAGAAGGAAAATAATTTGTTTAGGTTTTAGACAAAACTTTAAAAAGAAAGAAACTCTTTTTCCTAAAATGTTATCAATTTAACAAACAAGATTTAAGCACTAATATTTAACTAACTAAAATGTATTGCTTTATGGTGTCCAATCATGTTATTGGTTTTTTGCAATTCGACAGCTGAGAAACAACTGATACTATTCAATTGTATAAAAGAACAAACATTTTCCCACACTACTTGGTGAACTATTAATGTCCCTTTAAATAGTCTTATCCCTTTGGGAATTGATTTTACCATACTCAAAATGGATGTGCTTTTAATTACTTCAATTTGAGTAGATCGGAGAACTTCTGACAAATTGTTGACATCTATTTATTTATTTATTTATTTTACGCCTGACGGCAATTTACAAGAAAATACTTACATATTAGTAAATAATAAAGATAACAATTAAATTATATAAATTACAATTATTAATAATAGTATACAGTTAA